ATACGTCCTATTTTTTTCTATATATATACATCATATTTTTTTATCCTTTATTTCCAGTAATAACTTATTGAGCACAAATATTGTCCATTAAAATCAGAATAGAATTCCAATCTCTCGTCGGCAATATTTAAGCATTGGAATAAATTTGGACACGCTATAAGCATCAATTTTCTTTCCCTTTTAATTAAATTATCGCAATCAAAACATTTCTGTGAAGAAAATGAAATGTCAAGGGATTAGTCAGTCAACGAGTCAGAAGTAATTCAAGTTTACAATATCACTGGGTCCAAGTTATTTTTCATACAGAGATAAATTACGTGCTAAATATTTTTATATCAAATCTAGAAAAGAAATGTTTCTCTTGTAAATATTCGTTCGTACATATTTTCAGCAAAATTATAAATTGTCTATTCTTTCAAAATTTCCTGCCAGGTTTTACGGTTTAACTGACTTTTGCCGCGCATATGGCGACGTTGGACCGATAAGGATTAATATGCCATGGACTTTCACTTCATTTTATTTAGTTTCTCATCAGAGAAGCCGTTCCTTTAATATCTTCCCGTCGAAACTCATTTTTGCATGAGGCACTGGTTCGCGCAAACAGTTAAGCGCTTTTCAACCGGTCGAAATTAATGTCGCAGCATTCTTAAAGCCTTGCAATTAGACCGCGGCTTTTGCGCGTTTGTGGGAGAATCGAGTTGTAGCGGCAGTTTAAAATACCGGAAAGATTAAAAGAATTGGAATACGTTATTCCGAGTTGATTATATTCGAGTTGACTGAAATTATTACCGAGAGAAGGAGCTCGATATTTAGTGCCGATATTTCTTGCAATTCGTGCGGACGGTTTCTAGTTTTGCATAAGAATCCGCGGTCTACTTTTAATCCTTTCGTTATTTCGTGTTCCATCTGCACGTTCTTCTCGGAAAAGATTTGGTCCTTCCGACAGGATATAAATGTAAGTCACGTTGCTTTGTTTGGCAATTTTTTACGAAATTTACGAAATAGTTAAGTTGTTCGTTGTTCTCAAAAATTGATTTCTGGCCTAATTTTACTTCAGGTTGCAAACAGAAACGGACAATATGGGAAGAGGAGATACGATTATTAGAGCCTCGTGGCTTATTTTTAGAGTCAACAATTATAAAAACGAGGTGCAAGACTCGAATAAACGTTCATTGTTCATTTTTGTTCCCAAATTGTTCAGTTTTGTTTGCAAGCTGAAGGAAAATTAGGGACAATTTACTGTACTGGGACGTCTGAATTGAAAGAATTTGCTTGATTCGTGAATTAGAAATTATTATCTAAAATGCATCGCACGGTTTTCGAAGGATTTTAGTAATTGCGGAATCGATTTTTTTGAACCCTTAGGGCGGTGTTCCTCTTTGATGCTATGATTCGTTGGCATTATCGCGCTGACCATTGGTATCGAGGTTATTGATCTTCCCTTTTGCCTTCGAGATCTGCATGGATCTATATTTTTCGTTGGAACACATTGTTTTTTACTCCGTTGTCGTCTTGGATTCGGTTAAATTTTAACCCTCGAACGGTGGACAATTTTCTCAACTATACGTTTGCGTCGCTTGCAAGCAATTGCAACTTTATTTATCAATTTTTCTAACTATATGCAGATACTTCTCGTAGACGTATTAGCTTTTCTATTGTTCCAAATTCAGCAGCAATTTATTCAATTCATTTGCCGATAATTGAGTAATTATTTGGATCTTTAACCCCTTATGTGACTAGCCCGTTGCCATAAGTTCAATACAAATTGAATCGTGTTCAAGTCTAATGTTTTGCACGTAATTTTACTCGTTCCATTTCTTCACGTTTCTATTGTTCCAAATTTAGCAGCAATTTATTCAATTCATTTGCCGATAACTGAGTAATTATTTGGATCTTTAACCCCTTGTGTGATTAGCCCGTTGCCATAAGTTCAATACAAATTGAATCGTGTTCAAGTCTAATTCTAATGTTCTGCACGTAATTTTACTTGATCCATTTCTTCACTTTTCCTTTAATAAAAAGCAACGTTACTTAGCAAACGATTTAATAACAGAAAGAAGTGGTAGACAATTTTGGGCCAGATTCTTGAATTTCGCGGATCAAGGGGTTAAATACTCCAGTTCGAAATGACCAGGCAATTAGTCCGAGGGTTAATTGGATACGTGGCTCCTTGATCCTCCTTTTTTTCAAAGCAAATAGAGAAACAGAGAATTGGTAAAACTGTCTAAGATTCGATTTAACTTGGACGCTTTTTTCTTATCGATACCGTAACAGAAGCATTTTGCGATACAAAAAACTCGATAATTAGTTTGATACAGAAATCAAATGGAAACTGCGATACAACGAAGAATGAACAGCATTTTCTGTAATTCGAGCTGGTCGGTAAGTCGGTAATTCGATCGATCGAATAATCCTAATCAGTGAAACAAAATTTGTTGTAACTTCGCTTTCTCTTATTACATTAAAGAGATAATTTAACATAGAAACGAAGAGGGGGAAAGTGTCGTACAACGAAGAATCCTCGAGTCGGTGCAACAGAATCGCCTGCAATTCTAATTTCTACGAGATGAGAGCGAAATAATTTGATACAGAAACGAAATAGAAAGCGTAATACAACGAAGAATCCTCCTAAAAGGCAAATTTGCCAGAAAAAAGTCCTTACTCTAACCAGAAAACAAGGCTAAGGCGATGGAGTCAGTTACTACGCAAAATAATTGTTGCGCCTTTGGTTTGTTTACGAGCATAATTAATCTCACATTCATCGAATAGGATATAATAAATTTGTGTATCAAAGAACGAACGAAAATAAAAGAACGAAAGAATAAATCAAAAACTGTACGAAATGAAAGAAAGCAAAAATTGATTCGGAAATGTACAAAATGAAGGAAAACAAACGTGAAGGAAAATAAGCGTTAGCAAAATAAAATAACGAAGAAAATAATAAAAAAGAAATAAACGAAATAAAATAACGAAGAAAATAGTAAAAAAGAAATGAACGAAATAAACGAATACAAAATCTTAATATATCTCGCACCATAAATACAAATTTCGCAATGCCGAAAATCAAACGAGAGCCGCAACAAATTCCTCAGGGCACAGTAACCGGCCCAGAACGAACGAAACGCTCCATCCACGGGTCCCAAAATGCTTCTCGAAACGGGTCCACCCGCGTTCAAACTTACGCAGTGGTGTACTCGAGCGAGTTCGTTTCCTCTTCCTCGCCGATGGTGGCCAGATTGCTCTGCCAATAGTAATCGTCGTCGCTGTCGTCGCTGGTGTCGTCGTCCTCGACGTTGTCGTTCTCGTTCCTGCTCCTGTTCCCGGCCAAACCGCAGACATTGCGATTGACGTCGTTCAACGACCTGCTGTAAGAGTCGTCGTCGTCATCGTCGTCGTCGTCGTCGTGATCGCGATCGTGTTCGTTCGTTCGCGTTCGGAACGCGTTCTCGTCGATCGGCGAGTCTCCGCGATCGGAGCTGTCGTCTCCGATGGACTGCCTGTCGCCGAGCTTGTCGACGGGCTCGTTGAACCTCGTGGTCGCCTCGTCGCTGTCCTCGCCGGAGTCCTCTATCTCCGTCGAGATAGTGACCAAGGTCCTCAGCTCGGGCTTGGGCCGCTCGCAGGCCTTGATCGCCGGCTTGATCCTCTCCGAATCCAAGCTCGCTTGATCGTTCGCGACGAAACTCGGCCTCTCCTCCTCCTCCTTTCTCTCGACCTCAACTGGCCTTCGAGGACAGAACGCCTTCGCCTTCCTGATCTCGATGATCTCCAGCACCTTGTTCGTCCTGTATCCGTCGTCTTCCAAAACGTCGAAACTGTCCGTGGACTCGGTGTCTCTTTTCTCCTCGCTGTTCGCCCTCTCGAGCGGTCCGCCGTTCTCCACGGGAACGTTCTTCGGCTCCTCCAGCCTTTCCGGTTTCCTCTCGTCGGCTCGTTTCGCCGCGCAGTCCTCGCTCTTCGGGACGGGAACGTCCGCTTTCGGCGATACCGGTTCCTCGAGGCTGGCCTGCCTGGTCTCCGCCAACGGAGCCGTCGGCTTAGCCTCCGATCTGGGCGCAACGGCGGGCGGCGGCGGAGGCGGCGGCGGTCTCTTCCGCCTGACCTTGACGTCTCTTCTAGGCAGCGGCTTCGGCGGCAGCAGAGGCACCTCCTGCTGGGGTGCCTCGTTCACCGCCACCCCGCCAGCGGGCTTCTGCGGAGCCGGTTGATCCCGATCGCCGTTCATAGTTTGGTTCACGTTGATCCTGTTCACGTGGTTCCTGGCCGGCAACGGCGGCGGCGTTCTGTCCGAGCCCCTCGCGACACCGGCCGGCTTCTCCGGCGAGCTCTTCGGCGAGCGGAAGTGCTCGTGGCCGCCGTTTACCCTTTCGACCAGCTCCACGTCGTCCTTGATCGGCTTGAAGTGCGTGGAGGAGTCCGCGGCCAGGTCGGCCGTGTAGAAGAGGTCGGGCCGCGCCTCGTGCCCGTAGCTCAGCGGCGCGTCCTGGAAGCTGAGCGGAGGCTGGAACGTGATCGTCTCCTCGATCAGCACCGTGTTCGGCGCCACCACCGCCGTGATCCTCTCGACTTCGCCCCGAGACTCCACGTGGGTCACCGCCTCCGAGCTGGCCAGCCGGCGCAGCAGGTAGTCGGGAGGCGTCGACGTGTAATCCGCCTCGAAGTTCTCCAGGCAGATCGCCTTCGAAAGCTGGTAGTCCCGATCCGTGGGCCTGTCCGGCTGCTCCGCGTCCGCGCCGCGTGGGTACTCGCTCGGCTGCTCCGACGCTGTCGACGCCGTCGACGCTGTCGAGATCGTCGACACGCGGTCCGACGTCGAGAACCGGTCGATCACCGTCGACATCGAGCTCCCGGTGTCGTCCGACGTGCTACCGTGCGTCGAGCCGCACTGCGAACGGGCGTCCAGGTACACCATCGCTTCCGGAGGCTCCTGAAATTGTCGCAAGTCTCATTAGCGCGATAATGTTATGCGGTTGCGACGGCGAAGTTGTGACTCGCGGGTCGTGACAGTGATCCGCGCGGGATTTTTGTATGAAGCACGCGTTTTTATGAGCTTGTTTTTTATTACATGCGAGAGGGGACGGACAATCAAAATTATTTAAAAAATAAAGTATGTATATATTTACTTTACTTTTGTAAAGTAAATAATATTATACATAACATCATAATATAATATAACTAATATTACTTGTGTAATATGTGATTTTATATAATTTATATATTTAATATTTTTATGTTTTATATAAAAGGATCCGGTGTTCTCAAGGCCTTCATTTTTTTACGTATAACTATATACTATTATACGACATTGTATTAACCCTTTGCACTCGAGTGGTGACTCTCAGGCACCACTGAAATTGTTATATCACGTTCCAAGATAATTTTTGTATTAACAGAGTTTAGATTTTAAAAAAATTGCTAAAAGTTGTACGGATCACCGCAAGACACATTTTCATATGCATAAAATGTACTTTGTCATATAAAATGGAAATACTATAAGTCAGAGAAATTATTTATGATTTACAGTTAAAATGGCTTCGAGTGCGAAGGGTTAAAATTATTTCCTCTTTTAAGAAAATCCCACGTTTATGTGTTTAAGTAAATGTGGGATTTTATTAACACTAAATCTAGTATGACGATCACTTTGACCGGTTGCACATTTTTTATTTTAAGATTATTGACGTTATACTACATGTTTAATACTTTTATTAAGTATAAAAAATACGTTGTTCGTCGAGATCACAGGAAAAAATAAACTTTGAGAAATCACCAGGAAAAAGGACCTTCGAGAAATAACCAGGAAAAAATGAACTCGTAAAAAACGTATCTTGTATTATATCACAATTCGACGAGATATTTAGATGGCCTTACTTAAAAGGAACTACCCTTGGCTGCAAAGGCTGACTAACTCTTTGCAACTCGTTTAGCAAAGGCAGCTAAAAGAGCAGTGCACATTCATTTCTATTTTCAAGTCTGATAAAGGGGTAACATCAGAAATTCCCACATCGATATAATAGAATCGTTCGAATTCACGAAACGACCGAGCTTCATTTGCTTTCAGGGAAAACGATTTTACTTTATTTTGTTAAGATCTCTTTAAACGAGGCTTCATTCTTTGATCAAAATGCTATTCGAGAAATATTTCGAACGAACCCCTTCGAAATATCGCTCGAATGAAATTCGATTCGAGTAACATTTCGACGTACAATTTCATTCGACAAATATTCCAAATAAATTCGTCGAATAGAATTTCATTCGAGCAATATATTAAATAAATTCTTCGGGAGAAATTTCATTCGAGCGTCATTTCCAACAAATTCCTCCAAATAAAATTTTATTCCAGTGATATCTCGAAGAAATTCGTCCAACGAAATTTCATTCGAGCGACACTTCCAATAAATTCCCCCAAACAAACTAGCATTCGAGTGAAAAACAAATAACAATAAATTCGTCGAATAAAATCTGATTCCTACAATATCCCGAACAAATTCTTCGAATAAGACTCGCCTAATACTTCGACGAATTTATTCGAAATATTTCTCTTCCAAAGAACGTATTCGAAACGTTCGTAATTCGAACGAAGCTTCATTCGTCGGAATGAAATACGAAATCCCGATGCGCTGATGCCAGCAGGGAACGAAGCCAACCTGTTTCGATTTGGCGAGCTCCGGAGAGCGTTCCTTGGGCGATCCCTTCGGCGTGTCCTGAGCGGATCCATTGCAGCTCTTGGGCGAGGACTCGCAGCTCTCGTAGAGGCTGGGAGCCTTGCTCTCCAAGCTGATCGGCTGGGAGCCGGGCGAATTTGTCTGCGAGCTGGTCTGCGACCTGGCACCGGTCCAGGACTTCCTGACGGGGCTGGGATTCGCCTCGCCGTCGGCCAGGCCCCTGGCCTGCCTCAGTTTCCTAGGCGGGACCGGCGGCGGCGCCGAAGGCAGTTCCGGGGGCACCTTGCTTTTCTCCGGGGAGCTCTTTTTCTCGGCGCTGACCACCTCGGGCCTCAGCGCTCCCCTGCACCTCACCATTAGCTTGATCACCAGCTGGGACTCCTTCAATCGCCTCACGCAATCCAGCCGAGTCATGTGTGTCACTGGTACACCGTCTATCGAGAGTACCTGGAAAAGAGACACCGGTAACGTGACCGGTGTGCGCACGTGAGAGATACGGCCCCGGCTCGTTTCTTGCGCGGGCCCCGACCGCTATAAACAAACCGCCTCGGTCGCCAGACTGCGACCCGCGCGGGTCCCCCCGGCCAATCTGCGGCTCGCCCGAGAATCGTAACGCAGCAAGTGGGTCTCGAAAATTGCAGGCGGCCGCCGGTGCAGCCGCGATCCCGGCTACGAACGCGTCGCGTGACAGTTCTACTTCCGGTTAATTAAAATGCTTCTGCGCTCTGGAACGATTTAGCTGTTTTTCTCGTTGTGGCGGCGACGAGAACGCGGCTCGCGATCGTTGCCCGCTAAGCGACAAGTTATTAGCGCGATCAACGGTTCATTGACTCTCTCGATCATTGCATAGGTGGACCGATCCGACATCGAGCTGGACGAACAGTGCTTGATTTCTCGAACGATTTCTACGGAGGACGTTGCACGATCGAGCACCATCGGACGGATCGTTCCCGGCTCGTTCCCGGTCTTACTTTCAGTTTGCGCGACGATTCTGCGTTGAAACGCGGAAGCCAAGGACACGCCCGTCCGGGAAGTCCTGCGGTTTCGGTTGGGACGGGTTTCTTGCGATGTTAGGTGGATGCGGGAGGTTATGGAACCAGAGGATGGCGGATCTGGAGGTTCTGTGTGCAGTAAATTCTCAGAAATTGTTCTTCGGTTTGTGAACAAGATTGGATAGTTTGGGGAGGGGAGACGCGATTGTTCGAGCCTCGTGGCTGATTTTTATAATCGTTGACAATTGGCAATTATAAAAGTGAGGTGCAAGGCTCCAATAATCGTATCTCCTTTTTCTAAATTGTTCGTTTTTTGTTTACAAGTTGAAGAACAATTGGGGAGAATTTACTGTATACACTGGACAGAGAGATTTTGGATAAAAATTGGCCAACTTCGACTGACAATAACTTAGTGAAAAATCATCGTAGAATGATGACCATTTTTTTAAATTGTAGCTTGAAACCTCTACTTTAAGATAGTGTTTCTAGATTTTAAGATCGATGCACGCTTGCTACTGTAACTCTTTAAATGTGAGGCCACGTTGCATGTAACCCAAGTGCAAGGGTTACTTTGAAGTGCTGTAACTTCGCGAGAAAAAATCGCAGCGAAGTGCCCTTTTGTTTAAATTGAAGAGGAAGGATCAAGCTTCATTCCACTGCGAACGGCATCTCCGAGAAAAATTTTACAAAGTCCGTGCATTTCGTCAAACTTGGCAATTTTCAATACGACAAACATGACTTCAGATTCAAAGGGTTGCAATCGCGAGGGTGCGTCAAATTAAAAATCCAGGAACTTTAAACTTTCTTAAAGTAGAAATTTCAAACTTTAATTTAAGCAAAAGTCATCATTCCAGTCACAATCCAAAATTTTTCTATGCTATCATGTCTTTTAGCAAGAAGCATTTTTCTTCGCTCAGACACACGTTACTATAAAAATTGTAAAAAATTTCAACAAATTCGATCTCGTAATTCTTATCAGTGAATTTTTATTAGTCGCTTTCAGATCTCGGTAGGTTCAGCGTTCAGACCAAAACACTCTTGAGAAAAATTCTCGACGGCTAAAAGGACCTCTCTCCGCAAGGATAAACCGCGGAATTCGCCGGACGAGCCAATAAACTACAGGATATCCCAAAAATGTCTCGCAATCCGAAAGTACGGGATTCCTGAGGTCATTCGAAGCAACTTTTTCCTCAGCGAAAATGCAATCCGCGGCTTCGTTTACGAGTTATGAACGAAAAACAGTGACCAATCAGAGGCGAGATCATTTGGCGCGAGACGGCCGAACCAATGAGCGGAACTGGGCTCCGTGCGCTCGTTGGCTGGGCCGCCGCGCGCCAGCCGAGCTCGCCTCTTATTGGTCCGTGTTTTTCGTGAATAACTCGTAAACAAAGCCGCGGAGAAAATTTTCGCAAAGGAAAAAGTTGCTTCGAATGACCTCGGGAACCTCCCATTTCCGGATTACGAGACATTTTCGGGACATCCTGTCTATAAAATCGAGCCAAGCATCTTACCTCGTCCCCCTCGCCCAAAGTGCCCCAGGAGCACTTGGCCCTGCTGGCGGGGCTCTGGTCCTCGCAGCTCTGAACGAACAGCTTCCTGACCCTCTCCGCGGTCTTGTTGCCGCCCTCGAACTTCAGCCCGAAGCCGAGCCGCTCGCCGGGCAGCCGGAACACCTCGACCTCCTCCTCAAGGGGCCCGTCGAGCCCATTCGTTTGCGCCTTCGTGCCGGAAATCTGGCCCGGCTCGTCCTCCTTCTTCCCCTGGCCGATCGACAGCACCGTCACGAAATTCTCCGGCGGGGGCTGGCTCTCGACATTGACCACCGTCACGAAGTCCTCCGTGGCACACTTGGCGACGTCCATTTTCCGGGCCGATCCTAAAGCGTTCCATTCATCGCAAGCCCGCTGATCTTTACCGTCCGGAATGCTGGCCACTCCCTGAAAGCAGGTCCACGGCATTGTACTGATCGGTCGGTGGCGTAATCGGCCGACGAGTTTTCCTCGATCGTCCGGGAGAGAACTATTGTCCGGGACGATCGCCGGTTCGGAAATCGCGTTCCCGCCGGTCGCGATTTCGTTCGCGTTTTCCCCGAGCAGAGTCGCCGGACAAGATCGTCGTCGTCGTCGTCGCCGCTTTCTCTATTAATTCGATTATAACACGAGCTCCTTCCTGTGTCGTAAGAAACGATAAACGTCGCGAGCGACCGGCTATCGCGATCGCAGGATCACCTTTTTCTGGTCGGCGCGCTTGCAAACGGGATACGCCGGGACAGAGATCGGTAGGCCGACCGGCCGACGAGATGTCAGTGGTTTAGAAAATGGGACGGACAAGTTGAAACGAAATGACCGTTCAGGAATTTCGCGGTACGGACGGCGACGATGGACGACTCTCTTTGACTTAGGGTACGCTCGAGTGTCCGCACTCGTTTTACGGTGGATTTTACGGTTGGTAAATAGACGAGGATATTATGAACTTTTCGTTGGTTTCCTTGTGGATTACGCGTGGTCTTTCTCCTTACGATAATGTACGGTACGATGCAGTAAAATAAAATAGACAAAATAAAAGAAGAAAATGAAATAAATTAGATACGATAAAATAAGAAAATGAAATAAATTAGATACAATAGAATAAGAGAATGAAATGAGATAGATAAAATAAAACAAGAAAATAGAGTAAATAAGATAAAATAAGACGAGAAAATGAAATAAAATGGATAAAATAAAATAAATAAAGTAAAGCAAAGCAATAAAATAAAATAGATAGAATAAAACCAAAAAATGAAATAAACTAGATAAAAGAAAAGAAGAAAGTGAAAAAAAATAGATAAAATAAAGCAAGAAAATAAAATAAAATACACAAAATAAAACAAGAAAATAAATTAAAATAAATAAAATAAAGCGATAGAGAAGATAATAATATAAATATAATAAAAAAAATATAATATATATATAACAAAAATAATATAATATAATATAATAAAATAAATAGATAGAATAAAACCAAAAAATAAAATAAACTAGATCGAAGAAAAGAAGAAAGTGTTATAAAATAGACAAAATAAAAGAAGAAAATAAAATAAAACAGAATGAAATGCGCTAGATTAATGACGCTTCTTCGAAGAACTGCTGCATTCGAAAGGAACTCGTCGGTCTGGTTTTAATAATTATGTTCGCGGACGTTGTTATTTTCTATTGCTCAAGATAACTTTACTAAGTTACGAACGAGGCTACTAATAAACGATTCACTGGGAGATCCTGAACTAATGAGGCTATTAACACGTTCGCTGGCAGGGTCTGGCCTCAGGGACAGTCTCCGTGGCTACAACTTTCTATCGAACGCAACGTGTGCCCTCGTAAAAAAAAGGAAAAATATATTATATATATATATATATAAAATATATATATTATCTCGGGAAAGTGCGTGCGTTCTAGAACATTACGGTATGCATTAACGTATAAAATTATTTTGATGCTCGTTACGGGGATATGCGGTCGTCGCACATGCATACGAGTGAGTTAGAATCGTAGTGGCGTAAAACACATTTTGCTTGTTGCTCGAAGCGCGAAGCATTATTGTTTATTAAGACGCGTATCGTTTGCCGAACAAATTCATTGTCGAGATGATTTACAGTGAAATTAATTTACAGTAACTTTGTAATTTATTTCACTTATATTTTTATCATTTTGACGTGCATAGATTACGTTTCAATGCACAAGTCGAAATTTTCCTAAATATCGTTTACGCTGCTACGATTCTCACCCTTTGACATACAGGGTGTCCCAAAATTATGTTAATTCCGGGAAATGAGGGGTTCCCGAGGTCATTTGAAGCGGCTTTTTCCTTAGCGCGAATGCGATCCACCGCTTTGTTAAGGAGTTATCAACGAAAATCACCGACCAATGAGAGGCGAGCTCGGCTGACGCGTTACGCCATTGTACGGGATTCCTGGCGCATGCGTCACCCGTCCCCGCTCCTCCGATGACTTATTCGCCTGAGAACCCCCGAGCAAAGGTCGAAAGGATCCGACTGCATGGCCGGCTGGGATTTGTCGAAGGTAATCGATGCGTGCGCCGTGCGCGCGCGGAGATTCGCCGAGCGGAAATCTGTTGAATCGACGCGAACCGGCGTGGCGGTGACGGCGCATAGTTGCCGGCAAACTGTGTCACGTAGCGTAGATCTTCCCGGACGGTCATTAAGCGCACCTTAACTACATGCCGGCGCAACTCGCGTGACCAACTTAACGCGGAACTTTCATGTTCCCGCTGCGATCGCTCGTTTTCCCGTCTGCCCGTGCTCCGGCACGGTACGACGCGAGGTGCAAATCGCGAGCAAACATAAATACGAGCGGACGTGTACCGGAGAGACGCACCGCGCCGCGCGGCGGGACGCGATCCGGCGTTCAGCTCTCGATTTATCAACCGTTTACAGTTTATTGCGTCTGCTCCCGGTATGTCGCAGGAACAAAACGGAACATCGATTGCACAAAATTGAACGAATTTTTCTTCGTTCCAGCCGAACATGGCAGTCCAAAAATACGCTGCAAATGATTACATTTGCTGCACACGAATATACCGACTCCCATTAATAATCGGACACTTTGATTGAACAGAGTCAATTTTTCATCGCGTTTCGTGTTTCATACGTATTCATTTAATGAACCGTTCTTTTTTTCTTTTTTATTCATTCAATGCACGCGTTCTTTGTGTATTTATTTATTGCTCGTATTTCTACAGATTTATTTAATGCACGTGTTTCTTGCATGTTTGTTTATTGCTCGTATTTCTCATGGATTTATTTAATGCACGTGTTTCTTGCATGATTATTTATTGCTCGCATTTCTTACATATTTATTTCATGCACGTGTTTCCTGCATATTTATTTAATGCTCGTATTTCAGACATATTTATTTAATGAATGTGTTTCTTGCATATTTACTTAATGCTCGTATTTCAGACATATTTATTCGATGCATGTGTTTCTTGCATATTTATTTGATGCGCGTGTTTCTCGCATATTTATTTATTGCTCGAATTTTTCACATATTTATTTAATGCTCTGAGAAGATGTACATTGTAATACGTTTAAGACCGCTATGTTGTTTTACAAACAGAACAAGATTATAAAATTATTATTAGTAAATTAATTATATAAAATAACACAATTATATAAAGCGTAGATATCAGAATATATCAGAAAAATTATATTTTGGATTCCGAGTTAAAATAGCTTCGACTGAAAAGGGTTAAAAAAAATACAGCTCATTTTTAATGCAGTTTTAAAAAAGTCAATGCACTTTAAATTCCCGTCTGTTGAAATCTTTTCAGATAAAATCGATTTAGTGGAAATAGGTGTACGCGAAAAATCGGTAGAAATAGCGTTAAATTAAATTGATTTTGTGTTCGAGCTTTTGGGGTCGAAAGAAACGAAAACAAAAAACGTGGGGAAAACTTGGTCGGGATGGTTTTACGGCGATCGAAACGAGAGAGATCCCTTCTCGCGATAGGGAGAACGATTTTCCAGTGCCCGGAGAGATTCCCGCGACGTTATCCCGGCCAATAAGTCTTGGAGGGTCGACGTCGGTTGTTTATTCACCGTCTCCGTTCGTTTTCACTCATCAGCATCCCGCGATCGCCTAACGATATGTATATTGCCGGCCTCGTCGCGAGAAAGTGCGCTCGGTTTTCAGGGGCGGGAGGACGGTCCCGTCCTTTCTTTTCCCTTGCACTCCCGCGATTTCCGCGGAGCGGGACCGAGTAGAAAGTAAATTGACCCTGGGTCATCAACGGAACGCTGTCGGACCCCCCCGAAACTAACCGCGGGATGATTTTTCTCGAAATCGAAAGTCTTCCCCGCCGCCAGCCGCCCGGCGACCGGTCGCATAAATCAACGCCGGGGACATCCGAACAAACTCTGGAGATGCATTTTTAATTGCTCGGGTGTCGGGCATCGATTTTTACGGAGGAAAGTGGCCGGTCGTCGGTCGATCGTGCGCATAAATCGTGACAACGACGAGGTATATTAACGATGGTTTTTCTGTCCGCTTGTTTATGCTTGACGGAGCATTCTGCTGCGAATCGTTCGAAAGAGAATCGATTCTTTTATTTTCTTTACATTTTCTTGGAGAAAGTTATAGCCGGTGGATTACTCATTAACACTGTTTTTATAGTTATACCAATTTACCGAATTAAGTTCGCGACGACCGTGGCAAAAGTCGAGAAGCGATTTCATGGAAAACGTGGAACGTAAGAACCTTTTTATAATTTAACAATATTTAACACTGTTTAATAATATCATTATATTTATTATAATATTATTATTATTATATTTATTATATTTATTTAATCATTTTTATTAAGAAGTATTAAAAGATATCATTTAACCCCTTCGATAAAAATAGTGTATTAATATAAAATAATTTTTATCAAAAAGTATTAAATATAAATATAAATATATATATATAATTATAATAATAATATAAAAAATAATATAAATATATATATAATAATATAATTAAATATATATATAAATATAAAATATAGATATTAAATATAAATATGATAAAAAAGATCATTTTTATTAAAAAGTATTCGAAGATGTCCTTCAACCCCTTCGATGAAAGGTATTAAATATATCTTAACGTGAACGATCAGTATGTATTGCTATACAAATCTTCAAATATATTTTTCTCGAAAGTATGTTTCTTCCAGAACGATGGTATTTCAAAATCGACTTAACTAAAAAATACCTTCAAAATTCACCTGCACATCCAGTATACTCAACAGGTGCTTAAAAGATCGTTTCACATCGAATTGGTCGCATTTCACCATCGATTATGTAAATTCTGTTCGAACTAGAATTCTGATATATCGTTTTGAAGTTTCTATCATGCATTTTTATTGTCGCTTCGTATTATGAAACGGTGTTAATGCAACTGGTT